ATGATGAGTACGAATTTAGAACAGTATAAATCATGTTTATTAATACATGTAAAGTGAAGTATACAGCACTAATGCATCTGGGGAATGTCAACTACTACATTCCCACCCCTCCCAGATTGACAAAACAACGCTAATTAAAAATCTGCTAGATTTTAGCAGATCACGTGACCAGCGTCCACCAGGGTCTTTGCTTCCCAAGAGCAAATACCCTGGGAACGAGGTTGAAGGAAATCTAACAGTCAATCGCTTTCGATAAAACCTTGACCTTGTTTATATTACCGTCGCCTGCAACTAACGATGAACAGTTGCTCATAAAAACATTGCCTTTTCGCGTGATAATCTAAAGTTTTCTTATTTTGACATAATAGCCAATTTTCAATAAATATATTGATATTAAACTTATTGAATCAATATATTAAGTTTCAGGCCAGTTGTACCAAACGTTATAAGCGCTAGCGCATCATAACCAGGGGGGCGACCTCTGGGGCGGGGGCGACTGCTTCTGTTTACGGTACTTGCTGAGTGACGAATCATCAATCATGACGAATAGCGCTTAATGGAAATCGACTTCTGTATAGTATTCTGTGTCATATCGTTTCATGGTTTTGATTAGCCTGAAAACAGATATACGAGGGTCCTGAAGGGGGGGGGGGGTCCCAATCCCATTGCAAAATCCCAGTCCCAGTTGGATTTTTATTAGAAATCCCAGTCCCAGTTATTGAAATCCCAGTCAATAAAAAACTCTTTATTTATCGGTAGAATAAACAATTTTAAGACCTTTTAAGCAAGTGGCGGACACTTTATGAAATTTTAGGTGGGGCTCGTGCCGAAGGCACAGAAAATTTTAAAATTTGAATCCCGGAAATGGCATTTGCAGCATTCTGAGACACGCATAATCAGAAAACCCAGAATTCCGGGCGCCAGAGTATGCCTGTTCGCAGGTAGTGCTGTGAATAATATAGTTAACAACAAAAATCATGACCAAAGACACCAAAAATGGATCAAAATTGTATTTTAAAATACCCAAAACGCAGAAAAATTGGGAATCGGCTTGCATTACCTCAATCCCATTCCCATATTTGAGGACTTCATTTCCCATTCCCAGTGGCCAAAATCCCAGTCCCAGCAACCCAAATCCCATTTTTCCAGTCTAAAAATAGATCAATCCCAGTTCCCATTTTACCCCTTCAGGGCCCTCATATACGTTTCGCCCACCCTAAAATTTGCGGGTCGACGGATCCGTAGACTTGCTCCAAGTCTCTCTTTCATTGTCATATCGATCCACTATGGTGTACATTACATGACGTAGCACTGAGAGGCGGAGCGAGAAAGAGAGACTTGTCAACTTCGGAAAATCTCGGTTCAAAACTGAACCGAAAATGCAAGACTTGCTTTAATTGTTTTCTGTCAGTGTTTATATGTATTGATCTAGCACAGTGTAAATAACATGAGTTCCATTATAGTAAATAATACAGAAAGAAATTGAAGGAAAACAATTAAAGCAAGTCTTGCATTTTCTGTTCAGTTTTCAACCGAGATTTTCCGAAGTTGACAAGTCTCTCCTTCTCGCTCCGCCCCTCCGTAGTACGTCATGTAATGTACACTATAGTGGATTGATACTATGTGACAATGAAGAGAGACTTGGAGCAAGTCTAAGGCTTCGTCAACCTGCGAATTTTAGGGCGGGCGGAACGTAGGTCTGTTTTCACGCTAGTTTTTGATGGCATGCAACATGTACGCACTGCGTACCTATTTTTGGTTATCTGACCGCCACGATGCCAGCAGCTGGGAAATTTGTTGCGCATGCGCCAGATTTCCATTGAAACTTGAAGATTTTCCCGAAGAAAAACGAGATGTTCGTGGTTGTTGTATATTGGTTGAATGCCTGTTTAATCTTTATAATTTTTTTGCTCGAGACAAAGATAATATTTTTGAATGCCTGTTTAATCTTTATAATTTTTTTGCTCGAGACAAAGACAAAGTAAAATGTACTCTACGTTTCCAGTGTATAAAATATCTCGTTTGTGTTTGAACAGCAATAGAATATTATAAACTTGACACAAACAAGAAGACATTTGACACGCTAAATCTGCAGTCATGCCTGCCAATCGTCGCAAGCTTGACAGCCTTGTCAAACGCAAAACAGGTACTAATTTGGTTTTAAACAGAAAGAAGTTCAATGTTAATACCACTAACATATATTCTATAGAAATACGGGTGGTTTAAAATGTTTTCAATTGAATTTTCAAAGCTTTTATCTATCGACATGATAATCAAACTGTGAAAATGCCGGCTTTTGTTGACGCTTGCGAATGCAAAATAACTTCCCGTAAACAGAGCATTTCTACACAAAACTCTCGCTTAGTCTTCTAATGCACTTGTATGTTCGGTTCTACTAGTTAAACAAGGAAAATATCCAAGAAACACTGGTAAATTATCGTTGTCAAAAAACATTTCAGTGCTGAGGCAGTACAAGGTCTCAAGGGCAAGGTCAAGTTGTCGATTTCATTACATTTTACAGTAGTTCGAATGTTTTCGAACTCTTATCTCATACAAGAGCAGTAAACGCACGCATTTCAAAGCGAAATTAGACGCAAAGGGGCAAATTTTCAACAAAATTCATTGTTAAATTATGCTTCCTATGTGCCTTGGGAGCAAAAAAATATGATTTTAAATTTGGAGGAATCGGTAATTTTTTTTGCAATTTGGCCTGGTATTGCACTTTCGGTAAATTTTTTTGCAATTTGGCCTGGTATTGCACCCTACCCTATGTACTAACTGTGCTGTAAAAGTAATCAAATATACTATTTTTAATTTCCTTTCATTGAAAGGATCTACTATTGTGGACTAAACTAAATTTTAATCAGCATACAAGGCTGCAAACAACAGCCAAGAATTAGCTGGGTAGTTTGCAAACTTTAAAAATAATTGGACCTCAAACTTTGATCTCCAGAAGTAAACAAATAGACAATACTGCGAACATAATCCAAGTTTTGATCACGAGGGGCAATTTTTAGATGTAAAAAAACTTGTTTAAATTACATATCAAACTAAGGCAAAACAAAATTTGGTATTAAATTTTTGGTGAAATCGTCAAAGTTTTTTGCTATCCGCCCACACTTCTACACCCCCTCTCCCAGGATATTCTACCTCAAAAAACAGTTTTCTGCAGAAACTATGCTTTTTTATCGGAAAAATGTTTACTTTTCTCAAAAAATACATTATAAACACGGAAACCTTAAATATTTAAATAATTTTCATACCTTTTTGGGATTGAAAAAAGCAAAATTTGATTCATTATCCCACTTTTTAAAATATATGTGACAAAGTTGCTTCAAAATCACCATCACGCAGTAGCATGTTTATTTACCCTCATCCTTTTGACTGAATAAAGTTTATCGTTTTGAAAAGCTATTTGTTTTATAGCTCTTGGTTACCGGTTTACGTTTATGTCGATTTTGGCACCCATGAGACCAACAAGTTGTGGTAATCCGCGAATGAAAATGGATATTCGAAGAGCACAAAAGCCAACTCCTAGCTATGTAACTTTATCGCCTGAATTTTGAATCAATCCAAAATTAAAATGCTGATAATGTAGATGCTTTCCATACTTGAGATGTTAGTGAAGTTTTTCCTACAATTTAATTTCCTTGATCGCCGTCTTAAAAATGCAAAATCATCAGTTGAAATTTCACTCGTGTTGTTTTTTCAAATTTTCGAATTTTTGTAAAATATCGCGTGCGCCAGCAATTTCTCTGCACAGCGACAACAAATTTCCCAGCTGCTCACGATGCCTATTATTAGCTATTACAACAATAGATCGCTGACCAACCGCATATACAAGTAGGTAGATTTTGACAAGTAGGTTATGAATTTTCTTTGTTGATCCATACAGACGAACAAAATTTGTACTTTGTTATTTTTATCTATGACAAGTGCACCTCACTTGCTCAAAATCTAGCATACTAGCTTTTGGACAAGTGTAATGTCATGGTAATAATTAGCAAAGTTGCTAATACACACGAACAAATAAAACTTGTCTACAGTCATGAAAATTCAGAAATGTTTTCGCTCGCTACTTTATTTTTTCTGAGGTTTTTATAATTGCATTCACGATCCAATGTTTCGACACTTCAGTCTAGTGTTTTCATCAACCTCGTTCCCAGGGTCTCACCTCCGCTCACTCCCTGCTCCGGAGAGACCTTGGTATGGTGTGGTCACGTGAGTCATGACCACGTGCTATACTCAGTAGGGGTAGCAAGGGGTATTAAGCACAGTTATCCCTGTTCAAAGCATGATTACTCATATTTACTGTCCACGCTTCGAGGCAACGTCTTTATCCATATATTATATTCACCGCTAATCACTTCGCCTTCGGCGAATAATTGTTAACTAACAATCGCTATGGCCAAAAACGTTACCTAGAAGCGTGGCATATAGATATGAGTGAGTAATCATGCTCTGGATAGGGATAACGGTGCTTATTTACGACAAGAATATATACATCTTGTTGGAAGATGACGTCAGTCCATGGGTATATAAGAAGCCACATTGCAAAGTTAGATTACCCATGGTGAAGACACACAAGTGCCTGTCAAAATGTATAAATTAATTTATAAAAAACATCGTAGCGAGTGAAAACGTTACTGATATTATACCTGCATGGTCGTCGTGGACTCGAAAACTTTAAAAATATGAAAACTTGTCATAGAAAACTTGCTCGTCTGTAACAGGCTTGAAACTCTGACTATGTCTATATCTACACTGGCCATTTTGACATTGCCACGATCCCCCGACCAAATGGCAGCCACATTCTTTCTCTTTAATTTATGATATATAGTTGAGTGAAAACAAATTCTACATGCCTTTGTCAGTTATGATCCAGTGTGATAATTAATCATACTATGTACTTTAAAGGTAAACAATTCTTGTACTGAGTAAAAAAATTAATCACTTACTATAATCGTGTAATAATGATTCCGACAAAGATAGCTCCAAACCTCGTGTTTCTGTAATTTGCCTCCAACTACAAGATGAAGCATATTCTATTTAAACATGTCACGAATAGCAAATTGTAGTACGTTGTAGTGCATTGTAGTACATTACAGTTGAGCTTTGGTCCTTTATATATTTTTAGTAAGCAAACATTATTGCGTCAGTGCTCAGCGATGCATTCACTCATTTGTAAATACTGTACGATGTGTTGGTCGCACGTTTTTTATAAACTATAAAACTGCACAAATGAGATGTCCGTACCGCAATGATGATCACTTGAGTAATTTCAAAGTATCCTGCGCTGTTTGTGTCAGTATACTCTGGTTTGAATACACGATTTATAATCCTTATGCCACCCTGGACAGACGCCACCACATCTAGGGAGATTAATAATTGGTTATATCTAATTTCAGGATAAGTTAAGTTGGGGAAATTGGATAGATTTAATACACACACGTCAATAGCCACATCAGTTAATTTTTTGTCCCACTTAATGGATAATGCAATAGAATTTAACGAAAGGCAACGTGCTTAATTTGAGAGTGCAAGATAAGGTTCGATATAAGGTCAGGTGAGGTAACAAAAGCTGAGGGGTGAGGTTAGGTGTGGTTAGTCAAAGTCTGGTGACGTTTTGTGATGAAAATCTATGTGACAATTCGTTTCGATCTGTGTAATGCTTGATACAAATCATAAGAGTTATCATTTACTACCTGAAAGACATTCGGGCCTCTTTCTAAGAAACGAAAACAATTTAATATACCTCTTTTAAAACAAATAGGACTAAAAACTCATTTATCTTTACCATGTGCAATAAGTTCAATACGTCATGTTGAATATGCTAGCTGTAATTTTTAATATTTTTAATGTAAATAGATGCAGCACTTTAATATATAATATATTTTGTAACTATTACGTTGCTGCGATGTAATTTGAATAAATCCTAATTCCTAAGATAAAGCTGAGGTAAGGCGATAAGATAAGCTAACCAGACACAGTACTAAAATGCGGCGCCCGCCTACAAATAAAACTTCCAGCGTTTCCGCCTACATGCACAAGTAAAGTTATATTTAGCACGCTACATTCTCCTGTCGGCCGCCAGTTGGGCCGTACGTTAGGATCAAAACTGCGTTTTAAAGCCTTCAAAATAAAATATTTTGGGCTCAAAATACTATCAAAATAAAGAGAAAAGTGAGACGAATATACTGGTAGACGGCCGAAAAAAGAAAACCAACGATACCAAAGTTATTAAGATTTAAGGATCAAACGTACTGAATTTTTAATTAGTTTAATAATTTTGAGCGATTTGTCAACAATACAATTTCGCTTGACTTTCAAAGGCCATAAATCGCTAGAATACTGTTGTTTAGTAATACATTTGACATCCTTAAGTCCAATTCCTTACACTGAATCGAACGGTGGTATTTTTGTCCTTATTGGGCGCATAAAACCAGAGATAAGGCAGAGTCCGGGATTAATTGGAAGGACAACTTTCCTCGAAAAAAAGAATTCAGGAAACAGGAAAAGATTTTTTTGAGCGGGCCGTCTTTCAAAAGCCATCAATCGCTGGAATAGAAATCAATTTTGAAATCTATTTTCCGTCCATAAACACAACGTTTTACGCTGATTCGAACAGTGGTATTTTTGTCCTTGTTTGGCGCATAAAACCAGAGATAAGCCCAGCATACAGTCGGTCCTGAGGGTCCAAGATTAATTAATTTTCCCGCAAGAATGAATAAATTCAGAGCACGTGCAAGGAATTTTTAATAGGATACTAAGGAAACGTATTGATCCGAACAATATAATGCGGTGCCAAACTTGGGCACCGCAATCAGTGAAATTTTTAATAGGATACTAAGGAAACGTATTGATCCGAACAATATAATGCGGTGCCAAACTTGGGCACCGCAATCAGTGAATGTAAGGTAAGGTAAGGTAAGGTAAGGTAAGGTAAGGTAAGGTAAGGTAAGGTAAGGTAAGGTAAGGTAAGGTAAGGTAAGGTAAGGTAAGGTAAGGTAAGGTAAGGTAAGGTAAGGTAAGGTAAGGTAAGGTAAGGTGAGGTAGGCTAAGGTAAGGTAAGGTAAGGTAAGGTAAGGTAAGGTAAGGTAAGGTAAGGTAAGGTAAGGTAAGGTAAGGTAAGGTAAGGTAAGGTAAGGTAAGGAAGGTAAGGTAAGGTAAGGTAAGGTAAGGTAAGGTAAGGTACGTAAGGTAAGGTAGGGTAGGGTAAGGTGAGGTAAAGTGAGGTTGAGGAATCGCGAGAGAAGATATAATTGACAAGGCGAAGTAGGTTGAGTTAAGATAAGATAAGGTAGGATAAGATGGAATATGGTAAATTTAGTTAATAAGGGATGCAAGATAGCGTAGGGTAAATTAAGATAATATAACGTCCTGGATTGACGCGGTCAGGGGAGGCTTGAATTTCCCCGTACCCAACGAGTAAAATAAGGCAAAGTAAGGTAGAGTAGAATGTATGGTACATGGGCGGTAGAATTGCGTACCAAAAAGTGATATGATTCGACACGGTAGGGCGAGGAAATGTGTATTAAGGCAAGGCAAGTTGGGGTAAGGTAAGTCCTCGTTTACATGAGACCGGAACGAAATCAAACCGGGACCATTTCGTTTCGGTCATAATCATAATTTATAATAGATGATTACATGAGACCGGCACAAAAATAACTCAAACCGGTCTCAATTCATTCCGCCTGCTGGACTGAGCTAACTGACTTCAGACCGGCATGAATTCAGATTGGGATGAATGTAAACACAAATGCATTTCAGAGCGGTCTCAGCTGTAACCTGATTGACATTGGAACAACACATGCCAACAAAATCCATTTTTAAAAAGAAAATTGCCTGCCAAGGGGAATAAATTGAAAATTTTGTGCTTTTCGTACCAGTCTCAAGTCAACATTTCAATTTTCATTCCGGTTTTATTTCGTTCCAGTTTCGTGTAAACGGGGCCTAAGGTAAATTCGAGCGAGCGAATGCAACGTATGATAAAGGCAGACTAGGCACGGAATAAGTACAGAAAAATGTTGATTTTTTAGTCCTTTCCAATTCTTTGAAAATATAAGACAAAAAACAATTATTTGACGTTTTGGTTTTAAGGACACCTGAGAGACTCAGGCAAGTGAAACGATTAGCTGAGTCCGTCTTCAAAACCATAGGCACAAAAAGTTAATTTTGTTGTTAAGTAATCTATACGTACTAATACATGCTGATTCGTCAGCATTAAGTTGTTGTCTGGGACTGATACAGTTACAGCGATAGGCTCCTGGAAAGTTGGTACATCTTTGACCTGCTCCTGCACATTTTGGGGGTGTGGCTGTACATTCATTAATATCATCTATAGAAATAATATATGAGATATTAGTACTGTGACAGATCCTGGGAATACGTTGAAGGACAAGACGAGGTATGACGGATGAGGAGTGGTAGAAAGTACAGATATGGTACAAATATAAGAAGTGAAACAACCAGGAATATATACTACCATTGTGCAAAAAAGTAGTCGTGGGGTGGAAGTTAGAGTAGGAGCTAGCGTTGTGGCCGAGATTACGGTAAATCTTATTATTATTATTTCCTTGTAGGGCAACATGGAATACTTTTGAAAACTTAACCACACTACGGAAGCGTCCTCACACTCTATGGCCATATTATGTAATATTTCAAATCCGACTATGAGGACTGGACTAGATTTAAAGTCCGCGCAGTTTGATAAAAGCGAAGTTTGAAGCGTCGAGACGGAAGCCGTGGACTGAATCAAAATGAGAGGACTTGAAATCTAGTCCAGGCCGAGTTGAAGGATTTGAAGTGGCATCTCATGCGAATAAATCACTACTTAAAGTAAGGTGAATTAATTTTGATCCAGTCCTAGAACTAGATCAGTATACTTCACGAGCTACTATATCCAGTATTATCATGCGAGCAAAATGAAGCAATACGGTCGGATATTTACTCATAAATTATTAATGAGTTTGAGATAGTATGTTCAGGTACGGTAAGATTACCCTGAAATCAATTTGGTATGTAAATTGTGATTTCAATGTTTATTTACACATTTCACAGTTCTTTTCAGTCAAATGAAACAATACATTCTGTCTAGCATGCCAATAAAACAAAAATATTACTTTTCTCAAAATTTTATAAATACAATTGAAATAGGCAATTTTCATACCGAGTTAAGTCGGTCTATTTAGCAGCCTTGCTCTCTATTCATACTAACACATTTGATGGCCGGAGACCTGATGCCGACGTATTCTCGGGTTGGATATGACGTCATATCTACTCAGGTGGGGGGGGGGGGTCAAGTGTTTTTGTCAAGAACGCTTTTTATCTTTTTATATCGCTTTTTGTTTAACAAATTTTAAACTTTTTCCAAATTTTGGGGAAATGACAAATATTATATGTCTTTTTAGCGGAGGGGCGGAGTGTTTTGATACAATTTCGAAATTTCACAATTTTAATAACTGAATATCAATACGCAAATATGTTTTATATATTTTTTTATAATATACCACAGAGAAATATAAAGAAAGAAATTTTCCGTGCGGTTTGTAATCGGCAAGTTTGATTACAGACCAAAATTGCACGAAACGAAGTTCAATTTTGAAATCTGAAGCAATTTGTAAACCGGAAATGGTATTTTTGTTCACAAAAGACACCCCGATATTCTCCTAAATGCCTTATAGTATAGCAATCACCAAACAAACTGAACATTCATTAAATCGTAAATGTTTCCAGAAAAACTGAAGAAGTTTCCAATCGATGAAGACTAAAAGTGAGTTTAAATTAGAAATATTATATGTCTTTTTAGTAATTTGATATGGTTTTGTTACAGGTTTGTGCATTCAAACGTCGGAACGAATTTACGTTGTCTTGCGCCTGTCACTTTATTATTTCGGCCATATGTGATAGAAGACTTTGTTTCTAATTTACCTGTTAGTATTTAAAAATTATTTGGTATTTTTAGATTTGCCCAGCTTATATACTTTATTCAAAAATAATTAGTAAGCTAAAGTTTTATTGACCAGTAATACAAATTTTACAACACCAATGATGATCAGATTTGATTTGTTCTCTTGCATGATCACATCTTTCCTAAAATTGATTGGCTATTTGAATCCTGTCATTAAATTTTATTGGTTTAAGAAAGTTACGATTGCAGCGGATGCAAGCAATTTTAAAATTCCACTCCCCAGAGTGGGATTCGTGGTGAATATGCACTGCTAAGAGACAATCAGGTTCCAGTAATTGCAAAATGTCCCATAAACTAAAACACAACGTATGCATAGAATTCAAATATAAATTCATAATACTTTACCACAGAGGAGAGACATACAGAGTTGTAACTAGTATACCCACTTTTTTGTGCGCATGCTCGGCAAGTTACTAGATGCATGCATCTGATTGGATGACGACCTGATGACGACTCACTTTAAACTTGCTGAGCACGCGCAGTTGATCATTTTTTGCCCGGTCGCCTGAAAAAAAGTGGGTACATGAAAACGTAAGCTTCCGCAGTGTTTACGACGGTCAGTTACAGCTCTGTATGTCTCTACTCTGTGACTTTACTAACCGCATTGTGTCCCAGTCCCTTGATATCCATCTCTACATACACATTCGTAGGTTCCGATTTGATTATTACATATGGCGTTTGGTGAGCAATTATTATCTGTACCGTTGATACATTCATCGATGTCTAAATGAGGAATATGACGCATTATCAATAACTACAGTATTTGGTCAGTATTTTAGTCCCTTCAGGGTACACAATTTGTCATAGATTATAACTTAGCATGCGTTCACTTTAAACACACCTTCACAGTCAGTTCCATTTCCTTGGAATCCTGAATCGCAATCACATTCGAAGGAACCAACGGTATTCGTACATAAAGCATTGTTATGACAATTATGACTTCCTGTAGAACATTCATCGATATCTGGAAATTAAAAAAAAATACTGAGATGTTTACATACGTCGTTATTCAGGTACAATAATTTGTTTCTGTGATTTAATAGAACCATTTTTCAAATGTTTCTATTGAATTAAAATGTTTAGCAACCGCTATTCTCAGTGAAATTTTAATTTTCATTTTAATTAACTTTGTTCATTTCCATCTTGATCGAACCAGTGGCGAAATTCGTCAAGGTTTTGTGAGTCTAAAATTATTCACTTCTTGAGAATTCCTTTAAGTTGCATATTAAACATGCCTATTAAAAAGTTGCTGCTATCTGATAATATAAATAACACACGAAAAATTCCTTTAAGTTGCATATTAAACATGCCTATTAAAAAGTTGCTGCTATCTGATAATATAAATAACACACGAAAAGAAATAACAAATAACAAATAACAAATAACAAATAACAAATAACAAATAACAAATAACATATAACAAATAACAGAGTCGCTGTACAGATGCTGCTAAGCATTATAACAAATAACAGAGTCGCTGTACAGATGCTGCTAAGCATTTAGAAATGGAACATTTCTACAAAATGCTAAATAAAATTTGTATTCCATTTGGCCCAATATATCGACTTATAATCAGTATTCAGAACTAACCTTCGCACGAAGTTCCACTTCCTGTGTAGCCAGAAACACATGTACAATCAAACGAACCGTCATTATCTCTACATGTAGCGTTGTCATGGCAATTGTGCGTTTCGGCTGTACATTCATCAATATCTAGAAAGTTTTATTGAATATTGCAGTACGACTGATTGTCTGGCAAGTAATTTTGATTTAGTTAAATAAATTTTTGTTAAAAACAACCAACGAACATTTGAATGCTTTAAAGGTCTGGAGCGGGTTGCTTAAAGGCACAGTTCAGCCTTTTGAACGATGGTTTTTAAGGCGCATTTCGGCCCTTTTAATTGAAAAAACTAACTAGGAAAATCAATTAAGTATAATTCAAAATCCGTAAACTCGATGTTTTTAACAATAAAAATGTTTTAAAATGTTAAAAACATTGAGTTTGGTGATCTTGAATTATGCTTAATTGATTTTCCTAGTTAGTTTTTTCAATTAAAAGAGCTGAAATGCGCCTTACAAACCATCGTTCAAAAGGCTGAACTGTGCCTTTAAAAACCGGGGTTGATTTATTCCTGGGCTAACAAAAGTGGTTAAACCAAACTACCCAACAGACTATTTAGATGATTTTTTCCAACAACATACAGCTTGTCCTCAAACATAAACAATACCTTAAACGGCACGTTAAGCATGATTCATGGCCTTAATTTGGTCAAATAGTTTTATGGTGTTTTTTGGTGTTTTAGTAGTTTGTCAGCCATGCTTGGACTAAAGTAACAAACGCAACTGATCTCAAATCTACTTTGCAATGATGGAATTTTATAAGAATTCCAATGAGCATCAAACAAGAATACAAATAGAGTACTTACCATTTAGGTCGGTCCGTACTAAAAATATTTACCCTTTGAATCCTCGGGAGAATTTTTATTCAGTACGGACCTCCACCTGGTACTTAACATTGTTCAAATAAAATGTAGCTATGTATGATTTAATACATATTCCAAATTTGTCGTCCACTTACTTTCGCAAGTTACACCATTTCCAGAATATCCGTTTCTGCAATTACATTCAAATGAACCATCTGTGTTATGACATGTAGCATTACCGTCACAGTTGTCTCTTTCAAGATCACATTCATCGATATCTATAATTGTCACAAAAACCCAACAGTTACATAATATTACAAACCCACTACTTGGTGGTGCCTTTGTGGATTGCACATTCACTGCAGGTTAAACTAGGCAGTTTTAGTTTTGTCTCAACTACCAAGGAGAAATTCATAAAAAAGTGCCCTTGGAATATCAATAGTTTCGTTACATCGTTGTTACAAGTTACAACGTTGACCCGAAATGTTGAATTTTTTTGCCAAGCTTGCTTGATGGTGCTGCTAACTTGTTATACTGTATAGTTAATCTAACAAAGTTATGACGATAAGTACCTCGTTCAATTTAGTACCGGTTAATCAAGAATTTGCCTATACATGAAACATTTCGGCCCAAAAAACTATGCTTAATAACATTTTCTCAACTAAGAACTTTTTGTGAGTTGAGTGAAAAACAAACAGGCAGCAGGCATATACATGTTGAAGGCCGCACAAACGAGTGAGCGAAAGCTCATGAGCACGTGATTTTCAAAATCATCTTTGTCAACTTTAAATTTTGTACTATTTTGATATTTTATTACCACCGATTTTGCAACAATTACCTAGCTGGCAGTTTCTATGGCATAATAGTAACCGCTTTGTGCTGGAACAATAGTTTCGAAATTATTTGTTAAGTTATAAAAACAATGGTGTAACAGTTCTTGTACATTATATTTATTGCCAGTATACTTAACCTACCTTCACAAGTAATACCATCTCCAGAATAGCCGCTATTGCAGGTACATGCGAATGAACCATTTGTGTTATCACATGTTCCATTATCGTGACAGTTATCAGTACCAAGAGCACATTCATCAACATCTAGAAAGGCACAAAATTGTATTGTATTGTATTGAACTTTATTTAAACACGGTAGACTCATCAGGATTTACAAAAGACATTACGTACATCTATATATACATATTTACAGATATAACACGAAATAATTAAAATTACAAAATCTAAAAACGAAACAACCTGCTTTCCACGAGTGCCGTGCATATGACTATATATACAGAATAATATAAACATCTTAAAATTTAGATAAAAAAAGGTTAAGATAAGAAACTGATGAAGCCAGAGCGAAATTCACTTAGAGTTTTAACCTGTCGCAACCCAATTGGAAGGCTATTCGAAAGAACTGCACCTCTATAGCTAAAACAATTTTTCAGAAAATTGGTGCGTGATAATGGAATAGCAAGGCTGGCCTCAGTATTTCTGAGTTGATAATTGGTGACGCTACTGCGGTCAACAAGTCTCGAACTTAGATAACCTGGAGCAAGTCCATTTAGAGACTAATATAAACCATGACAGCTTCACCAATTTGACGTTGTAATTCAAGAATTTTTCAGCCAAGGTCTTTGATGCTTGAACTAACGTTTAAATTAGTAGAATAATAGACCAATTGTAGTTGACCTTGATGAAACAAACCATACCTTCAATATCAAACTAAGGTTATAAACGGCTGAACTTTGCATGAATTTTATCTGCTTTTGAAAACAATACGTTTTCTTTCTGCATAATTATTTAGATCTCAGGATTCATTTAGCATTCGCTGTCATTTTGAAATGTCCAAACTTGGGACAACGTTCCCAGTTTTCTTGAGGAGGGGGCGGGGAGTACCCTGGAACCAGAGGGTATTTATTTTCGCCTGTTTTGAATAACCCTCTGGTGAAATTGGCGTAGTTTTTGGGTTCACATTCCACACATAACTTTCAAAAATGGAAGCAAAGAGTTGATTGGCTGCTGACTATAGGTTCGATAGACTACGTGTTCTGATTGGATATTGTAAACATCATAGCCTGTTCGCAGGCGTTTCGTGTTTTGATTGAATTGAAACATTTGAATTTTGAAATGTCTATATTATTAAATAAACGAACAAAAGTTAAAAGAAACAGTTTTATAGACTGCATTAATAGATAGATTGATAAATTTCCTGAATTAAAAGTTTAACGGAGCATCAATACCGCGCCTTGTCCAATTTGATTCACATTAAAGATGTATTTGCATCTTGCTATCGGTTATGGGAAGAGTTTAATATTCCAAAGTTCTATTAACACCGAGAGTAGCACGACGACTTGGCAAAAGCCACAATTTTCTGGAGAAAGCCATCTTAATCAAAAGTAGTCATTTGCAAATTGAACTCTTTCATTGACTCTCACGTGTCATTTGCAAATTGAACTCTTTCATTGACTCTCACGTCCGTGAACTAAGAAAGCGTGGATGCCGCGTTACTTCACTGTCAAACGAAGAGGACGAGAAAGCAATACTAGATGGAGAGTTTACATTCGCATTTTGTAATCCCGAGTCTATTATTCGAAATGCGAAATGGAAAGGAATGGTTTCATTTGAAATCTACAAGACAAATTTGCTTGCTTTTGTATTAACAGACAAAGTTCACGTCGGCCCAAAGAGGTGCATGTGTTTAATAAATTTAAAAGTTCACGTCGGCCCAAAGAGGTGTGTTTAATAAATTTATAAAATACAGATTTTTTTGAATGTATATTGCAGGATTAAATTGAATGTATATTGCAAGATTAAAGTGAATGAATATAAATATATATTTATATTAAATTGAATAGATGTGACGTTTTAAATTGAATGAAATTCAGGAGAATGAATATTGCTACAAATGGGCAGGCATACACTGGACAGTAAACATGCGATAAAATCCTGTCTAGACGGCCTGGCCAATGATTGGATAATATTTTTAGAATATGATGCATTAAGCCATTATACATTTTTTGCATTCTTTATCCGAACCAGGAATCGCTAACAAATTCACCAGAGGTTTTTCCTTTTTCTTCGCGCGTTTTCTCGCATTTCGCGTTCGCCAAACCTAAAAAAACCTCTGGGCCAGGGTAGGCGGGGAGGGGCGTAACATGCATTTCCAAATATAGTTTTTAGTATGGGTCTTACAGTATAAGCCAATTTGGGCATAGTATTGAATGTGTATCCAAAATTGCAGTTGAATCATAACATATAGCTGAAACATCAAAGTATTTCACTATTCAATGTCATTTGAAGATGTAAATTACTCGAGGTATAAATACTTTCCACATGGTTATTCTGTGAAACCTGGCTCAGCCAAGAATCAAACTCGCGGCTTTCGTGGTGCTGGACAGATTTCTTTACCATTAGGCGTTTTACTCTTCAGATGTTTGGGCTGTGATTCTCGACAATAACACACGACTAAAAATTATATTGTTTTATAACCCCTTTATGATTCAACTGCAATTTTATCCTTTCACAGTACGCATCATTTGGATCCGGCCCTGGTCGATACTCTGAATAGGTTTATTAATTACTATCGACGATAATAAAAGCTCTTCCTTGTTAATAATGCAGTTATTGAAAACTAACCTTCGCAATCGAATCCGTTCCCTGTGTAGCCAAAATTACAAGAACAATTAAACGAACCGTCAGTATCAATACATGTAGCATTGTCATGGCATGTGTCGGTTTCCTCGGTACATTCAATAATATCTGAAAAAAATGTATGAACGAAATCATCAACCATAGGTACTAAGATCAAATTTCAAAAATGATCAGTACACATCATTACCATTCACAAAAGTTGTGCACAGTTCTTTGTGCTCTAAATGTGCAGGTCATTTGATAGTTCAATTTTAAAAAAGTTATATTTGTTTACTCGCATATCAACGATTGTAAAATAGCTTAGTTTTTGGAATACCAGCATTTTAATTCAAGAAAAAATATCGCTACGTTGTATGGCGTGAAGCAGCAATTGAGAGTAATCTGACACTGTGAAATTACTTACTGCAATCACACGGGACACACGTTGATATGATTTGTGTACTGTACATGGATGTATATATCAGCATATGTGTATATGGATGCCATTCTGTATTTTTATATTCACATAATCTATGTCATGTGAGTTAATTGAGATTAACTATATATAAGATTTGGCTGAAAACCCTTTTAAGGGTGTGAAATACGGCTAGTCGCGCGACAAATTGAAACTGGACAAATAGTCAATAGATATTTCTTATAATGAGGTCAAACGCTGATGTCCCGCATAAAAACATCATTTGCAATGCGAATTGTCGTTAAAAATTTTCCCTTGACATAATTTAAGTGTTTTTCCACAAATGATGGCATTATAAGAAAGATCTATTTCCGTATTCTTCCAGTTTCGTGGGAACGTAGTCAAGGTGAGGCAAATATTATTCACCAAAGGAATAAAGATTTATACATTTTCTATTTATAAATTTCCAATCCTCACAAACGTTTACATAATTGAAAAAGCCTAATTCCTAATTATAGTTTATATAACATATTAACCAAAATTTCTGATCCACCTACTTCGACAGGTAACTCCATTCCCAGTATATCCGGCATTGCAGGTACATTCAAATGAACCCTCTGTGTCTTGGCAGGTAGCATTACCGCTACAGTTGTCAGTATTACCATCACATTCATTAATGTCTAGAATCATAAAAATGAATTAACATATAAATGATTATCAGCTTTAATCTTGCATATATAATATCTCAACTGCAAAAAGCTTCACACGATAGGCGCTCAACACAATACAACACAATAATAATTTTGGCATTTCTAAGTACGTGCGGTTAACTACTGTATGCCAATTTTAGTATGGTTGGCATGGCAACATGATAGTGCCCCCCCCCCCATTTGTACCCCAAAAAGGTTACCATTACAGCGCAGTGATGAGAGAACAGATTTATTTTTTTCCTTTGGGTAGGGGGGTTGCCTAATTTCCATAAATTGTCCAACGTAAAAAATTTTCCCCGAAAATGTTGGCGACGGAGGGGATCCTAACATACTTTGTAGCTAATATTTTTAATAACGTGTCTGTTTTCTTTCATCTTTCCTGATTTTTTCTCAAAATGTCTTGCTGTTTGATATTTTCCGCGGTACATCCCGTACGTCTCATGATATGTGCATTTGTAAAAATGAATAAAGATGGTCACGCGAAGGGAAAGTGCAAAGTCCGAAACATTTGCAAAATTTCAATTGCAAAAGTTTAATTTATTTCTTGGTCAGTGAAACCACTCTACAGCATCTTTCATAGAATATTATAGAGGTTTGGAATTTATTTCAAGAAAATGACCATGTAGTTAGTTATTTAATCGAAAATAGCAACGACATCCGACAAATATATTTTTAGTTCGCTTCATTTTATGCTCTTGTCGCACCACTGTGTGGCAATACAAATTATTCAGGTTTACAAATAAAATATTGCTTTTCTCTTGCTACATTGCAGTTTCAACAGTCAGAAAAATTAAGCCACACATTAAACAGTTGGAAAAGAATGACAGACTAGTCAAAAAACAACATCTTCACCATCTTTTCACAGTATCTTTTCGGATTAGCGTCCTGAAAAGACCTAAATCCGCTTTCAGCGTGGTATGCGTTTTACTCAGTAAATTCAATCATATCTGAAAAAGTCGTATGAACGAAATCATCAGCTAGGTACTGAGATCAAATGTCAAACATGATCAGTACCCATCAACACTATTCATGAAAGTTCAGCACAGTTCTTTGTGCTATAAATGGGCAGGTCATTTAATAGTTAAATTTAAAAAACGTTATATCTGTTCACTCACAAATCAACGATAGTAAAATAGATTAGTTTTTGAAATATAAACGTCTTCCTTAACAATAAATGGTTAAGATATAATGTGAAGTACAAATATTTATTCAAAATGTCCAAGCGAATCACATAAAAACCCATCGCAAGTTCTTGATTCGTCAATAAACAATTGTTCAAGTTCAAAATTTTGAAAGTTCAGCCAGAGAGTTTAGGTCAGTGATTTTTTGTGTATTTTCATTTTCTGCTCTTGTTCGAACTAAGTAAATTGTTGACTCGTTTCAAATTGTTAAGCGCAATTAATGAAATAATTGCACTCCTCTTATTCAATCAGATTTCAGTAATTTTTTCATGTATATGATAAATAATGTAATTAATTGTGTCAACACGACAACGTTAAATGTGAATCTGTCCAGGAACTGAAAAATAATAAAGTTGTCACATTAAAACTCGTTCTGATAGACTCTGGCAAAAGCAACATTATTGAGGTACCTGAATGGCTACAAAGGTTATTGTTCTATGTAATATAAGAGGACGGAAAAAAACTTATGGTTTTGAACTTATGAGAGGTGATCTATACTTTTCGGTATTGACTATGTTTGATTTTCTGCATGACGAATGACTGAATATCATTTTGCACAATTTTTGCACAAGTGAATATAGCAAATCCTACAAGTTGATTGGTCAAAGTTAACGTATTAAGTTGTTAATTCACCTAAATGCAATCACCAACAATCATGTACGGACGTATGTTTTTGAGCTCCTTGTTTTTTGTATGCATTTTCTTGTCTTTTGGTCCTGAGGTTGTTGGATTTGGCTGTTCCTCGTCAGGAGAAGCTTCTGCTTCAACAGATATCGTGTTTAAAGGGGAAAGTTATGAAATTAAGCTGGAATCTTCGAGTTTACTGGTCGACTTTTACAAGTTACTTAACCATGCAGAACGGGATAGGACGCTATTAGTCCATTTTACTACGTTAGCTAGTTCGAGAACTGTCGCTTTTAATAGTGATTTAATCGGCTGTGATTGCTTGTCGGAGGAATATGTTTTTGATAAACAATATTTTGGAAATGAGCAAGAAATACAACGAATTTATGTCTGGCCCTTTGGTTTTACGACGGTGTTCAGCCAAGCTAATCGTGCCCAGATTTGCATACTGTTGAAACGTACAGGTCGGGATTTGTTTTTAATTGGGCCGGTTTCGCTTAATGAATTTAAGAAACGAAAGCTATCTAAATCTAGGGCTATGTATTATTCGAATTCAACTGCGACAAGAAGATTGTTATTACTATCTGGTGATGTCGAACAAAACCCAGGATGGGAAAGTTATCAACCTAAAACTCAACAATCAGTAATAGAACAGAAGAGAAGTTCTGCCACTAATTTAAGTATTCCCGTGCGTATTACTGAAAGAATGAATTTACATCAGCAATGGAATGTATTTCGGAGCCCAATCAACTGTATCAGCGTCAATATTAATAATAGTTTGCTCTTACCTAACAACTTCAAAAACCTTAGCTTTTGTCTTATGAATACTCGATCACTCAACAACAAAGCTGCTGAGTTTACCGATTTCATATGTGATCATCAACCTGATATTGTTGCTTTAACTGAAACCTGGTTTCATGAACATGAAACTGCTGCTAGGTCCCTCTGCACGCCCACAGGCTATAAACTCTTGGACCACCCACGATCCGGCCGGCATGGTGGTGGCACTGGAGTGCTGTTCAGGAATAATTTGACTGTTAACAGAGTATCCGCTGCAGAACTCCGATCTTTTGAATACTCTGAGTGGAATATAAAAGCAGGGTCCCGGCGTATTCGTCTAGTCGTTGTCTACAGAATACCATACTCCGATATAACCATACCACGGACCACAATATTTTTTGATGAGTTTGCTAAATTCCTTGAATCTGCATCCCGTATCTACCACAATATTTTTTGATGAGTTTGCTAAATTCCTTGAATCTGCAGTCCTCTGTACTGACCAGCTCTTGATAACTGGTGACTTCAATATACATGTTGATGTGATTGATGACGTTGATGCTGTCAAACTTCAGGAGCTACTCGAGAGTACAGGTCTACAGCAACATGTCAATGTCCCAACTCATATCCGTGGACATACCCTTGACCTCATAATAACAAGACATTCTGAAAATATTGTTACTTCTCCACCTCGAACTGATTACATTTTTTCAGATCATATGCCTGTTCATTGTAACCTTCTAGTTAACAAGCCTCGTCTTAAGAAAACCCATATATCCTACAGGAAAGTTAAATCCATCAATGTCGATGCTCTTTGCAACGATCTCTCCAACTCAGATCTCTGCAAGAACATGCTTTCAATGGAGCTCAATGATCTTGTTGACTGCTATAACCATACATTGTCATCATCATTGGATCGACATGCGCCTTTGAATCACAAAACAGTTGTAAAAAGACCGACCGTTCCTTGGTTTAATGAGGAAGTCAAGTTAGCGAAAAGAGCACGAAGACGAGCTGAAAGGAAATGGAGACGGACTAAACTGTATGGTGACTTCCTTGTTTATAAATCAAAGAAAAATCAAGCCACTTTTGTAATGAAACGCGCACGTAATGAGTACTACACCACCTTCATACAAGAGAATAGCAGCGATCATCGTAAACTGTTCAAGTCTGCCAAATTTCTTTTTAATCAAGAAACTGATTTGCATTTTCCAGAATACAGCGATAATACAGTCCTTGCGAATGATATAGGTGACTTCTTCGCCAAGAAAATCGAGTGCATTAGACAAGAACTTGACAGTGCAGCCACCTATGACAACCCTACAAGTGAACCACAGATAATGCCTAATGTTCAACTGGACTCGTTCAAGACATTAACTGAGGATGATGTTAACCAGATTATCTCAAGCAAAAAATCATGCTCTTTGGACCCCATGCTCAAGCAAAAAATCATGCTCTTTGGACCCCATGCCCACTCATCTTGTGGTCCACTGCCTGGATGTACTTCTGCCGGTAATTACAAGAATGATAAACTTGTCCCTGCAATCCGGATGTTTCCCTGAGAACTGGAAGCTGGCTAAAGTCCACCCAGGCTTAAAGAAGTCAAAAGCTGAGGTTATATTTGATAATCTTCGTCCCATCAGCAACCTTTCATTTGTTTCCAAACTCACGGAACGAGCTGTCTTTAATCAAACCCATGACCACCTTACCACTCACAAACTTTACCCTAAAGCTCAATCTTCCTACCGCCAATATCATAGTACTGAAACTGCTCTTCTACGTGTGAAAAATGACATCTTGATGAACATGAATAAACAACACGTAACTCTTTTGGTACTGCTTGATTTGAGTGTAGCATTCGATACTGTTGACCATACCATCCTGCTGAATCGACTACGCTCTAGCTTTGGTATCACAGGTCGTGTACTAACTTGGTTTAAATCATACCTCGAGAACAGATCTCAATGTATTTCTATCAACGGTGGTGAATCCAGATAATTTGAAATGAAGTATGGTGTTCCGCAAGCTCTTGTCTTGGTCCTGTCTTGTTTGTCATCTATGCAAGCAAACTGTTTACTATTCTTGAAAGCCACCTACCAGATGTTCATGCATTTGCAGACGACTCGCAATTATACATTTCATTCAAACCTGCCTCTATGATCGAGCAATCCGCTGCCATTAAGGCAATGCAAGATTGCATCACAGACATCAAGAAATGGATGCTGGCAGACAAACTGAAGTTAAATGATGATAAAACGGAGTTCATCATCATCGGAACAAGGCAACAGTTGGCAAAAGTAAGTGTTGATTCACTGTGCATCGGAGACGAAATTATCAAACCATCTAGCGTAGTAAGGAATCTCGGCTCCTGGTTCGATTCGCAACTGAAAATGGACTTACACATCAATAAATGCTGTAAAGCAGCATTTTTCCATCTATTTAATATCAAACGTATCAGAAAATTTCTCAGCTTTGATACTACACAAATTCTTATTAACGCTTTCGTTACGAGTCGACTCGACTATTGTAACAGTCTCTTGTATGGTCTGCCCGCCAATCAGATATACAAACTCCAACGAGTACAGAACTCCGCAGCAAGACTGATTTGTAATATTAATCGATTTGATCACATCACCCCTGCGCTGTATAAACTACACTGGTTACCTGTTAGATACAGAATTAGCTTTAAAATATTACTTATTACTTATAAGGCAATTAATGGTCTCGCTCCTGAATATATTTCTGAACTCATCAAACTCAAGGTTGCATCCAGATACAATCTACGATCATCTACTGAACTGTTGCTTGAGAAACCGGGAACAAAAACACTAACCACTTTGGGTGACCGATCGTTCCAAGTGGCTGCACCTACGCTGTGGAACAGCCTCCCAGCTGAAATTCGTAACGCCTGCAATGTGGCATCATTTAAGAAAATGCTTAAAACCCATTTTTTTATGAAGACATTTTCCTCCATGCTGTCATAATTAGGACAAGTAATATATAGCAGCCCTGTAGGTTCTTAGATTTATTGTAGGACGGTTTTTAAATTAGTGTAATATTCCAATTTTCTATTTTGATGTAATGCGCGAGTGAGCATCTTTCTATGTAACACGCGCAATATAAATTTTTAAATTAAATTAAATTACTGTAAGATGAATATAACAAAACCGAAATTTGCAAAATGGCGGCTAGCCGTTTTGTGGGAGTTACTGATAAAGAAATAAGCGAAATTAAAATAAATTCAGTCCCAAAAAAAACACAAAAGCTGGTGTAAATTATTTGTTTTCAAAGCATGGCCAGCTTCCGGCCACATGCATGTGCACGTCTTCAATCGAGAAAAAAGGTTTACTTAACCTTACGATTTTCGAAAAATTTCACATTACGATGATTTTCGAATTGTAAGAATCTACGAGGGAAGTGGACACAAAATCGGTTTCGTTGACACGTATAGATATCCTTAGATATCCCACCTTAAGTATAGCTATACGTTTATGTGGGATACAGGGGATGCTCGTACTTACTGATACATCCAGTGCCATTGTTAATAAATCCGTCATTACAGACACAATCATAACTTGTATTTGTATTGGCACATGTTGCATTGTTACCACAATCAGGTATATGGATAATCTGTGCAGGGTTGCATTCGTCGTAATCTGAAAGTAAAGTCCAAAAAAAAACATTCCACTTACACGTTGTTTTCAATCAACAAAACGAAGGTTCGAAAAGGCGATGTTACAAGGAAGGATTTTCCACGACGATTTGCAATACAAGTGGTTCGACATCCCGTTGCGTTGCGAATCATTGTTGAAAATCGTTCCGTGTGACATCGCCTTAAAAAGGCAAGGTGAGCAAATCCAAAGAATTGAAATTGGTTTTGAATTCTATGGAAGTGCCAAAGAAAGTCCATGTTCCTATATTTTGAAATGCTTTTTAAACAAGCACCTTATAATTTAACTTGAACGCACAGTCGGACTTGATTTGAGCTAAAACATTCGTTTCAACTAAATTGTGACGACACTGTGATTATGCAACTTTGCTTGCAAGGACGGTTGCCTTTCGTTTGAAACTCATTATTTGCTAGTAATCTATGTTGCAAATATTGCGCCTCATTTACTGCTCAACCATTAAATCGCAAGAACCACATGAGTCGTATCAGCGGTATCACGACCAATCGTAGTCGCAGAGATCGCAATCAGTCATTTCCACGATTCTTGCACACGACTATTGCGATATTTGCTATTTAATGGAAACCAGGCAAACAAATCAGAACGAGCGAAAACTTGTTTGCTATGCAAAATTCGCACTATTCTTCCTATTTCTATTCTTTCTGGTATAACAAATTTCTCATATTTAGAAATATATTCATTGTCTTTTTAAAAACACTGCAATTACTAGCCTGCTTTCCAGCACACCATTGTGTGTGGACTGTAAAATATAGATCTCAAATTTCTCGTTAAACGTTCAAGACAATTTATACATAGCTAATTCAACCAGATATCACCGAATGTTATCGAATATATAGAATGATTAATAGAACGTCTGAATATGGCCACCGACTTCGACTTCAAAGGACATTGGTTTCATGAAAGCATGAACTTCTGCCGAATATGATTTCATATTCTGTGCAGAATGATTTCAAATATTTCAATCTTGTTCTTTCCTAAATTGAGCCCCGTTGACGCGCTAAATGCGGTAGTTGAATTGCTTTTTAATCACAGACACGTCCCACTATATAGCCTATGTGCTAGTGCTTACAGTTTAAAGTCTTGAATACAAGCATGAAATATAATTTACATAATATTTTCTGAGTCATGCATAAGTTTTCTCACGTTTTGTGGAAATCGATGGAGAAGAAATTTAAGATTATTTGCATAGTCCACACGCAACGATGTAGTGGATTGGAACACAGGCCGTACAACACATTTTTCGGTGAATAGTATAATAAGCTTTATATAAGATTACATGCTCATCTACCTTGAAATGTCAAAACCTCGCTCAGTTGAAGATCGCTGTCAGAAAGAAATGTGCCATTATTTGTAATATTCAATTGACTGACCACTTCTTGCTGTAAGTTTTGATTATTCACTCCATTTGTGTTGTTAAACGTTGCGACGTAGTCGACGCCCACCGATCCTGGACTGCAAGTATTCAAAAAGGATTTCAGAAATAAAATAATTGTTTGAATCTATTTTGATAAAAAAAAAAACTGAACAGATTAGAAATTGCTCTCAATTTCGCAAAACAGCTATTGGTAGCCAGTTTTTGATATATATGGCTTCTTTGGGTACTTATAATGTAGAATAATGAAAAAAAATTCGCAAACTCAAATTTTGCAAACCAGGGGGGGTGGTGTCTTTTCCGACAAATTAAAAATGGCTTGCGCACGCGATTTAAAGGACATTGGCAACGAAAATTTTTATTGGCTATTTCAATCCTACTTGACAACCGAACTATGAAAATATTATCATTTCCTTCTTGAACATTTTAGTCTACGAGTAAAATGCATGCAAACTTTGTGTTTCGGCCAGTTTCGCCGCCATCTTGGAAAATATTTTTGAAAAATTATCTCGAAGGTCAATGAACTTTGTGACGTCATTGGCTGGGTAGCACCAAAACTACAAGAGAGAATTCTATTGCATGCGTGTTATGTTAGCTAAAAAATAAAAATATGTCGTTTTGAGCGTTATACTGGCCAACACTCTTCGCAATCAAACAAGAGAAGTCTACACTATCAGATAAAAACATATCGAGCGACTGGGAAAGCAAGAAATGGCGCAATTTACAATGCAGGTAATTCATCATAAAATATTGCATTAGTATTTGCCTTGTTACACTCGAATTTCTGCGCTTATTTAACACGGAGTAAGATATATATTATGAGAAATAGTGTTACAAACAAGTTACATACTTAGCAAAACTTTTCTGCCTTTTGTTTTGGCTCAAAATGCACTACGCGTGGTAATACACGGTATTGTTTATAGTCATGAGATTGTGTTTACCCAGCCAATGACGTCAGATAATGTATTTTGTGGCATAAATTAGCATACGCGCTTATTTTCAAAATGGCGGACAACTGTTCAAATTTTCTCAAATTCAATCAAATTTTCTCAGCAACTAAACGCGACAAACCGGCCAAATTATGAAATTAAATATTCCGTAAGTATACTTAATAGATATAAGTAATAAAAATTTTGGTTGCCAATGTCCTTTAAAGGCTATGATCGTATTTTGAGTTAATGGACGAAAAATGTGTTGGGTGTTTAATTGCTGCACGACATTTCAGACAATTTGCTTCAGTTTAAGCCCTTCAACTATCCACGCAAACTTACACTTTTCCTAAAAAATCAGCAATTGGCATGCTTAATTAATGCATTTACCCAATTTGCATATGTCAGCAACAGGCAAATTAGGTAAAGGCATTAATTAAGCATGCGAAATGCTAATTTTTTAGGAAAAAATGGATAGTTAAAGGGCTTAAACTAAAGCAAATTGTCTGAAATTTTGTACAGTAATTAAAAACTCAACAAATTTTCCATCCATTAACTCAAAATAGATTTCAAGTCCTCGCATTTTAGTTTGTTGGAAAAGACCCCCCCCCCCTGGTTCACAAAATTTGAGTTCGAGAAATTTATTAGTTTCCATTTGGCCGTTAGTTGTCGCTGGCACGACAAGTAGTGTGTCAACAAAACTTTATAAAACTCTGCAATCATTAGGACTGATTTGCATATAACACACGAACAGGCTATTATTATATTAGACTATTTCACATCTACCGCTTGTCGTGCCAGCGACAACTAACGACCAAATGGAAACTAGGCTTAAGTACCCAAAGAAGCTATATACATAAAAAACTAGATGCGAATGGCTGTTTTGCGAAATTAAGAGCAATTTCAAATCTGTTCAGTTTTTTTTTATACACCCTGTATACAGTATATCCACAAGTACTAGATAAACTATAATCACTTACTATATTCTTATTATAATGATTCTGACAAAGATAGCTGCAAGTCCTGTCCTTCTGAAATTTACCTCCAACTACAAGATGACACACTATTAGTATACAGTAGTTAATTTTTAATCTGCAATAAAATTTCTTTTGACATGGTAGCCTATTCAGTATGATATTTACAATATGTTTCTCAAAGCGCCGTGCTATATAATATCAAAAACACATTAACTATAGTTGTTTACAATTAATTACAGCAGTCTAGTAATTAATTATTACACACGTCCTCCATTAATTTCGGAAATCATTATACATTATTCTGTAAGAGTTAAACGTAAAATTTAGATTTCCGTACTGTAAAATTGAGACTGTGAAATTGAGATTTCTGTACAGCAATGATGAGCTAAGCGTGGTTGTAGGTGCAATGAAAACATATCTATGCAGGATTCTTCATTTTATATATAGTTTTTAATATATAGTTTTGAATATTTGCATGAACAATTTCAAAGCATTTACAAATGTCACATTGTAGTAGATTACATGTCACATTGTAGTAGATTAGTGTTGAGACTTCGGTCCTTATATAAATTAGTAACCAAATAAAGTTTCCACAGTGCTCAGCGATGCATGCATGTGAAAATATTGCACGATATTTTTGTTTTGGTTTTCTATGAACTATCAGACTGTAAAATTGAGATATCCGTACCGCAATGATGATTTCTTCCGTAATTTCATAATATTCCCTGCTGTTTGTGTCGTCATACCCTGGTTTGTATTCACGATTTATAATTACTATGCCACCCTGGATAGACGCCGCCACATCTAGGGAAAATAATCGATTGTATCAAAATGAAAGGAACTTAAGGTGAGGCAACCGTTAAATTCAACTAAACGGTAAGCAACAAACTGTTAATTTAAGTTATAGATACATCGGTTAATTTTTGTCCCACTTAGTGAAAAAATGCACTGACCATTGATGGAATGCGATGGAATTTAATTCAAATTCAATGGAAATTGATGGAATTTAACCAAAGACAAAGTAAGGTAAGGTAAGGCAAGGTAAGTTAATGTAATGTGAGGTAAGGCAAGGCAAGGCAAGGCAAGGCAAGGCAAGGCAAGGCAAGGCAAGGCAAGGCAAGGCAAGGCAAGGCAAGGCAAGGCAAGGTAAGGTATGGTAAGGTATGGTATGGTATGGTATGGTATGGTATGGTATGGTATGGTATGGTATGGTATGGTATGGTACGGTATGGTATGGTACGGTACGGTATGGTACGGTACGGTATGGTGAGGTGAGGTAAGGCAAGGTAAGGTAAGGCAAGGTAAGGTAAGGCAAGGTAAGGTAAGGCAATGTCACGTAAGATTAGGTAAGTTAAAGTATCAGCTAGAGTACAAGCACGGGCTTCAGGACCAATTCAATTTGACAACAATAGCATTCTATCTAAATAGCAGTTAGAATAAAGCGTACGGCACCTAAAATGTTCAATATCTTGCTTGACAGTGCTTCTAAATCCGTAAAATATTTACATGTTCTGCAAATACTGTATATTTTCAAAAGCCGCCATATTTATTTACATTAGAACCCAAGCTTTCGCGGTCCACACGAAATATTACGACGATGATTTTCACTAATAATAGGAGAGTAAGATCATCCAATTATTTCATCGTTCGAAGCGGGAGGAAACCATGATGCTTTCATATATGGCACAAACATGTCCCCAACTTCCTCATATGGAACACAAACGTGTCCCCAAAATATTTATCGAGGCCGTTATGATGTCATAAGATTCCTCGCACTCAGAACGATTTGAGCAGGTCACGTGATACAGAACACAGACTGCTGATTGTGTTACCGATTGACAACGCCCACTTTGATCCTACCCTCTTATTATTTGTGAAAATCACCGACGTTAAAGTGCCACTGCGATGGAAAATTGTGCTGTCTTTTTATTGTATATTCAGAAAGTATGTCTGTAGATAAACAAAATTACCAAATATCAGCGTCCAATTCCATTTCCTTCTGCCTTTTTTTTAAACGCAAACATGCAAATTTTTCGGCCGCCATTACTGAGTTGCCAATTAGCGAGATGTTGATTTCTTAGCCGGATGTGACGTCATTTACTCAACACGCTTCTTTCCCGAAGGAGAAATTAATATTATCAAAGGCTTCTACTAGGCTGTTTTTTGTTCAAAATTATGTCTTCTGACGAAAGCCACAGCTCAAATTTTGCAACACAATCATCTTGCGAACTCTCTTTTGCCGAAGACGTTTCTTGTGATAGCGGGGGTGATGTAAATATGGAGAAAAGTGTGGATTTGTGCGAGGCCTATGATACTTCAGTCGAGCCTGTCGAGGCTCTTGCCACTGAAAAAACATAATACACGAAAAGTACTATAACTGACAGAGAGCAAGAGCAGCAAACACTGTCTGCTGGATTGTCTGGGGAAACCTTAACGGGCACCTGGTACGTTTTGGATTGTATTTATTTACGTTTTGGTTTATATATTTGTGACATAAAACAAACATGTGATGGCCATGTTTAACAAAACAAATGGTCACTGGTCTCCTTATAAAAAATCATTGTCACCTCCGTTATATTGCACGAAACGTCTTCAATGAGAGATGGCTTAAAGATGACTGTGTTGCCAAATTGGAAATCCTAACTCACGTAAGAACACATATTAATTTACACAAAGTTGTGGGAAATATATTTCAATTATATATATTAATATAAATATATTATAAACTTCAATAGTATACTTCAGGGTGTCCTGGCTCATTATTGTTTATGTGAACCTTGTAAGAAAAAATGCTGGAAGAAAACATGCATGTAGTAACTGTGTCCTGGCTCATTGTTTATGTGAACCTTGTAAGAAAAAATGCTGGAAGAAAACATGCATGACCAGCATTTGATATTGGTTGTATTTGAATACCCTCTGGAAATATCAAGACTTTTAGTATACCCCCATTCCATTGGAAATCTTGATGCAATGGTCAACACCACCCCCTATCCTCTTGAATTTCCGATCTCTTCTGTAGCAGGGTGGGGTGTGGGGGGGGGAGGCGGGGGGTATGGCTATTTCCTGGAACTATGCAATTTGACTGAGTCATGTAGGAGTAATTTTTGGCATTAAGCATTGCCTCAAAAGGCAACCCCCAGACATATTTGCATGTTTTTCTTTAAAAAGAATGACTACCAGGTAGGTTGGTGAGAAAAAGAGCACTCCCTACTCTGGCGATGAGTGGTAAGAAATTCTCATCAGCCAGGGGCAGCCAAACTGATACAATGTCATGATCTGAGTATCATATTCTGAATTTAGTAATGTTTGAATCCCTGTAAAGGTGAACAAGGTACTGAAATATCCTGTCATGTGAACAAGAAAACTTGAAAAGCCTATAGCTAAGTTATATGTAAGCCAAACAAGGATCTTGTATTATGAATCCTGGTGTAACAGAACACAGCTCACAAATAACATGATAGTTTTTGGATTACTAAATTTTGTGCAGAACACAGCTCACAAATAACATGATAGTTTTTGGATTACTAAATTTTAAAGCTGTCATGTTAATATATAAATTTTCTTTTTGAAAGTATGTTTCTTAGGGCAGTTGCATATCAAGTAGTGAAGCTTGTGTGGAGCTGTATACCAACAGTTCAAGAAGGTACCCCCTTCCTTGCTGTGCATATGCCAAGATACGGTTTCTGTCTTGTTTATGTGAACAATGAACATTTTGCCGAGATATTTTTTAAAACACCGACATCATGCTTGAAAGTATGATAGTAGTAAAAAACTGTTCAGAATTTCCATAGGGGTGGGGGAAACAAGCTGTCAGTGACAATTAGAAAAATCTAGAGGGGTGGGGGTTCATAATTAACTAATAAAATCTCTTCCATTAGCAGGGGGTATTGCCTAGAACTACACATTGAAATACTTAGTCTGGTTCACTCTTTTTCCCTTCGGTATACAGAGTGGTATAATTTGGCAGCCTTTTAATCAGGTTTTGTAACTTAAACCAGGAAGTTTTAACACCCAATGTTTCAAACAACCAATATCAAATGCTGGATGCTCAGTTTAATAAGCAGCAGTCATGCATGTTTTCTTCCCGCATTTTTTCTTACAAGGTTCACATAAACAACAATGAGCCAGGACACAGTTACCACATTTATACCTATGGATCATTAATATATTAAAGATACTATTGAAGTATACTATTGAAGTATATAATATATTTATTAATATATATTAGTTGAAATATATTTCCCACAACTTTGTGCAAATTAATATGTTTTCTTACGTATTGAAATATATTTCCCACAACTTTGTGCAAATTAATATGTTTTCTTACGTGAGTTAGGATTTCCAATTTGGCAACACAGTCATCTTTAAGCCATCTCTCATTGAAGACGTTTCGTGCAATATAACGGAGGTGACAATGATTTTTTATAAGGAGACCAGTGACCATTTGTTTTGTTAAACATGGCCATCACATGTTTGTTTTATGTCACAAATATATAAACCAAAACGTAAATAAATACAATTCAAAACGTACCAGGTGCCCGTTAAGGTTTCCCCAGACAATTCAGCAGACAGTGTTTGCTGCTCTTGCTCTCTCTCAGTTATAGTACTTTTCGTTTCAGTGGCAAGAGCTTCGACTGAAGTATCATAGGCCTCGCACAAATCCACACTTTTCTCCATATTTACATCACCCCCGCTATCACAAGAAACGTCTTCGGCAAAAGAGAGTTCGCAAGATGATTGTGTTGCAAAATTTGAGCTGTGGCTTTCGTCAGAAGACATAATTTTGAACAAAAAACAGCCTAGTATAAGCCTTTGATAATATTAATTTCTCCTTCGGGAAAGAAGCGTGTTGAGTAAATGACGTCACATCCGGCTAAGAAATCAACATCTCGCTAATTGGCAACTCAGTAATGGCGGCCGAAAAATTTGCATGTTTGCGTTGAAAAAAAAGGCAGAAGGAAATGGAATTGGACGCTGATATTTGGTGATTTTGTTTATCTACAGACATACTTTCTGAATATACAATAAAAAGACAGCACAATTTTCCATCGCAGTGGCACTTTAATATTTCGTGTGAACCGCGAAAGCTTGCGTTCTAATGTAAATAAATATGGCGGATTTTGAAAATATACAGTATTTGCATAATATTATGTAAATGTTTTAAGGATATAGAAGAACTGTCAAGCAAGATATTGAACAGTTCAGGTGCCGTACACTTTATTCTAACTGCTATTTAGATAGAATACTATTGTTGTCAAATTGAATTTGTCTTTATTTATGGCGGGGGGGGGCGAAGAAAAAAGGGTTGGGTAAACAAAATTTTGAGTAAGTATAAAGTTGGGTAAATGAAAAACAAAACAACTCAAACGATGGGTAACAACAAGTTATTGTGATTTCCAAAGCATGATTCACGGAAATATTGGAGGCTGAAAAGCAATGTCAACAGTCATATGTCAATACAATATGTAAATCAATCAATCAATCAATCAATCAGAGTCACTATCTTGAATATTTTCCAATTTGTTGGGAGACAAATGGTATCTCCAAAGAAAGTACATGTGCAAACAACATGAAACTTTAGACTTCAGAAAATTTTACAAGAAGTGATAAACTGAATGGAGACAGAAGTGATCAACTGAATGGAGAAGAAACAGAAGTGATAAACTGAATGGAGAAGAAACAGAAGTGATAAACTGAATGGAGAAGAAACAGAAGTGATAAACCGAATGGAGAAGAAGCAGAAGTGATAAACTGAATGGAGAAGAAACAGAAGTGATAAACTGAATGGAGAAGAAACAGAAGTGATAAACTGAATGGAGAAGAAACAGAAGTGATAAACTGAATGGAGAAGAAACAGAAGTGATAAACTGAATGGAGAAGAAGCAGAAGTGATCAACTGAATGGAGAAGAAACAGAAGTGATAAACTGAATGGAGAAGAAACAGAAGTGATAAACTGAATGGAGAAGAAACAGAAGTGATAAACTGAATGGATAAGAAACAGAAGTGATAAACTGAATGGAGAAGAAGCAGAAGTGATCAACTGAATGGAGAAGAAGCAGAAGTGATAAACTGAATGGAGAAGAAACAGAAGTGATAAACTGAATGGAGAAGAAACAGAAGTGATAAACTGAATGGAGAAGAAACAGAAGTGATAAACTGAATGGAGAAGAAACAGAAGTGATAAACTGAATGGAGAAGAAACAGAAGTGATAAACTGAATAGAGAAGAAACAGAAGTGATAAACTGAATGGAGAAGAAACAGAAGTGATAAACTGAATGGAGAAGAAACAGAAGTGATAAACTGAATGGAGAAGAAACAGAAGTGATAAACTGAATGGAGAAGAAACAGAAGTGATAAACTGAATGGAGAAGAAGCAGAAGTGATCAACTGAATGGAGAAGAAACAGAAGTGATAAACTGAATGGAGAAGAAACAGAAGTGATAAACTGAATGGAGAAGAAACAGAAGTGATAAACCGAATGGAGAAGAAGCAGAAGTGATAAACTGAATGGAGAAGAAGCAGAAGTGATAAACTGAATGGAGAAGAAGCAGAAGTGATAAACTGAATGGAGAAGAAGCAGAAGTGATAAACTGAATGGAGAAGAAGCAGAAGTGATAAACTGAATGGTATCGTTTCGTAAATTATACTAAATTTATTTAATCAGTTTGAGATTTGAGAGTCCCATCCTATTCGACTAGGAAATTAGACGGTTCAAGAAGTATTAATGAAAAATCGCACGCGTGTTTGGCGAAATATTTATAATGCCGCGAGTGCGTAGCAGGGGCGGTATATTATACTAAATATTTCCCCAAACACAATTGTCATTTTTCATTTATACTTGGAGAACAAGTCTAATTTCCTATTAATATCATTTTATAGTCAATTTCACACATGAAATTAATGATAGGAAACATTTTATTTTATGTATTCAAGCGAGCAAAGCCATTGAGAGCAATTTCTGTCATTAATTTTCAATTCACTCCTGTAAAAACTGTGAATAATGTTGAATATTTCTTCGCTTTCTTTCTTATGGAAGCACGAATAAGAGCTCATTGCCAAATAAGAGCGCAGAAAATATAAATTTTCAAGGTGTTTATTTAGACATCCAATCGCGTTTTTTACATTCACGCGAGCTCCTATTCGTGGCGATTAATCTTTAATACGCACGCTGTGCGTATTTATGTTTCATCGGCACGGTTTTTAACCCATCAAATCGAGTAAATTGACATTATTTAGAAAATAAGTTTAAGGCAAACAGCAATTATTGTTTTAAAACTCGCACGAAAGTTGGACTTTTTGATTGAGGGGGCACCTGAGAAAACAGGCAAGTGAAAAGAGTAAATGAATTTGTTTTCAAAGGCACACAAAGTTAATTAATCTGTACATACCAATACATGCTGATTCGTCAGCATTAAGTTGTTGTCTGGGACTGATACAGTTACAGCGATAGGCTCCTGGAAAGTTGGTACATCTTTGACCTCCTCCTGCACATTTCGGGGGTGTGACTGTACATTCATCAACATCGTCTATAGAAATAAGATATGAGATATTAGTACTCTGACGGATCCAGGGGAGTTTGTTGAAAGACAAGACGAGGAATGACCAAAAAGTGGTGGTAGAAAGTACAGATATGGTACAATACAAACAAGAAATGAAAGGAGCGGATGCATGGAAGCATTCTGGCTCTGTTTATAAAAGTATCTGAGTAAAAGGATGTGGAGGTTGCATAAAGATACATCCCTGCCGAAACAGAAAAATTAATAAATTCTCAAAGCATCCATTCTTTATTAAAATAGGTTGTAAAAAGTCAAACAAACGAACACTTCATACTCCTAACGAATGTGTAATAGTAACACAAAAAAATTCACAGAAACCTAGAAGAAAAAAGTACATCTTAACCATGTGAGCATGTGTTTGTCTCATGTTTGATGGAATAGTAAAAACGTTACGTTTAATATTTAAACACAGTAGTTAAACGCAATATATAGTCTTCAGGTCATGTTAAGCTATGTTGTTGTTTAATACATTACAGCGCTGTAGTTATGTAATATATTACGGCAATGTAGTCATTGATACATTGCAGTAATGAAACATGATTCTTCAAAACAATAAATATTTGTTCCATGTTCCAATTAAGCGTTGAAGTTTCAAATATATAAGTGCACCAAGGACTGTTTAAGTAGAACGAGGACGAATTTCCAACATGAGCTCCACCTTTGAATTTACTATATGAGTAAATTCTTAAACACGTCCGAATTTATCATTATGATAAATTCGCGGCACATTTTGAATTTATCAATAGAGTTAATCATAAAACCACAAGCATTAGACAAGACTTCTTGCGATAAATGTAATGGCACTAGAAAGGAGGCTGGTCGCTCAGGGGTGGGGAGTTTTTCAATAAGAAAATAGTTTTTTTTAAGTTTTAAAAGAGTTTTAAAAGAGTTTTAAAAAGCAAAAAAGTTTAAAAAGTTAGATTTTTAAAAAAGATACAAAAATTTAAAAAGTTAAAAAGGTTAGGGGTTAGTGGTTAGGGGTTAGTGGTTAGGGGTTAGTGGTTAGGGTTGGGGTTAGGTGCCGCGAATTTATTATTATGATAAATTCAAAATGTGCCGCGAATTTATCATAATGATAAATTTGGACGTGCTTAAGAATTTACTCATATAGTAAATTCAAAGGTGGAACTCATGCTGCGAATTTCGAAAGGAACTGCGTAAGACCTAAATTAATATTTCAATAATGGCACTATATGTTAAGACAGTGTGAGTGTCCATTGTTTTGTAAATTTGCCTTATTTTGCAGTTGTTGTTCAAGTAAGACAGGCAGACATCAATTGTACCTGTGACTGTGTGTACTTTTTTACAACATTCAATGAACAGTTTACTGTAAATCAAATGTAAATCCTCTTAAAGATTCTTATAGGAATATTTTTCTCCTCTTATAAATTTTTATAGGAATATATTTTCCCTCTTTGGAATTTTTATATCAATATATTTGCCCTCATTAGATTTCTTATAGGAATATTTTAATCCTCTTAGAAATTCTTAAGTCATCTTAGGAATTCCTATACGAATATTTTTGTCCTATAGGAATTTATATAGGAAATTCTAATACTAAGGAATTCCTATAGGAATATTCTTGTTTATAGGAATTTGTATATCTTTATCCCATATAGGAATATCTATTTTCCATTTTTGCCCTTTTCTATGGACATTCTATATAACTGGTATATAGGCTATGTTAACAAAGCTTTTTCGGCAACACACGAAAACTACAGTGTTTGTAATGCAGTCGACTTCATTCGTGATTGGACGTCAAACCATAGGGCGATGGTGATGCAACGAATTAGTATAGACAGTGACGTCATGATCAAACATCCCGCAGTCGTTTCAACGAATTTTTATTACAAAACGCTCCGCGGTTTAAAGGACCGAGGGAATAAAATGAAGAGAAAATGAAATTGACCAGATCGTGTAATGTAGTTTATCCAGTATTAATTTGTAAAATATCCAATGAACAGACAGACTATAATGTATATACTAACCACATTGTGATCCATTGGCTTGATAGCCATCTTTACAAACACATTCATAGGTTCCGACTTGATTATTACATATAGCGTTTGGTGAGCAATTATTATCTGTACCGTTGATACATTCATCAATGTCTGAAGGAGGAATGTATGACGTATTATCAATGACAGCACAAGTGTAGCTGAATTCAACTGATTTTATTAATAATCAACATTTAGAACTAACCTTCACAAAAAGTTCCATTTCCTGTATAGCCAGAATTACATGTACAATAAAACGAACCGTCACTATTGGAACATGTAGCATTGTCATGACAATTGTGACTCCCTGATGTACATTCATTAATATCTAGAAAGTTTAATTTAAATGAGTTCATCTGATACAATATTTCGATTATTTCAGTAAGTAGGTTTAAGTTAAGTATATTTCAGTTAAAAAGGAACCAACACCACATAACAGTACACATTGTTGCCATGTACCTTGAAATTAAAGATTAATTAAATTCATGCAACGCCAAATGGGTAACATGTCAGGCTTACTCTGGTTAGGAAATACAAAACATTTGCCGTGTTTCCAAACAGTTGCAGAAACACGAACTGGAGTTTTGATAAACTAACACGTTACAAACCAGTGGGGAAAACGATCCCACATTTGAAAGTTTTAAAGGTCTGGGTCGTGCTTCATTGAAAAGTAGTTAGCTTTATTCATGGGCAAAGGGAAATGGTTAAAGTAAGCTTTCCAACAGCTTATCTATAATTTTTTTCCAGATATGTTGTATGGATTATTAGAAGATTAACTTTATATTTTCTACTGTTCGAAATTAACGGATCCGCAGAAATATACAAATAAAATTATACAACCCCAACTGGGTGACATGGTCAGACTTACTCTATTTAGGAAATCAGAAATAACCAGTGGGATGAATGATCCTGTAGGACGAGCATTTCCACTCTATCTCGAATTCTCCCAAATTACTACCAGGATTTCTAAAACTGTATATGTTTTCTTATCTTTTATAATTTAAAAGGGGGAAAAGGAGGCGTCTTAAAACTTGAAATACGAAAAACACTTATTTCCTGGAATTATAGAAAACAACTTCCTTTCTGAAGGTTCAAGCGCTCCTTAATCCATTTGGCGGCAATAATGCGAGATCAAAGCAATTAATACTCAAACGTACATTTTTAATATAATGTTAAAGATTAGATATTATCGGTTTAAAAGCACAAAATAAATTGTCATTCAAAACAAAATAATGGAACTATACATGCTATCGGGAAATGAAGTGCTAACTCTGCAGCAAGGACACTTCTCTTATCCTTCACGGCCAGATAAAATAATATAGAACGTTTGACGTCAGTTTAGCATGCACCTGTATGCAGCACTTCTTCGGTAGGTCTTTAAAATAGAAGCTATACCTGCGAACCCGATGGGCCAGTCCACCATCCTAATTTAACAACCGTTCCTCCCTCATTATTATCACTTTCATAGTCCACTTACTTTCACAGCTTGTACCATTCCCTGAATATCCTTCATTGCAACTACATTCAAATGAACCATCTGTATTATTACATGTAGCATTATTGTGACAGTTGTCAGTTCCAAGAGCACATTCATCAACATCTACACAGACACAAAATAAAATAATATATGAATTGACGTAAATTTATTGATACATGATTGCTTAACTGAGAATATAAATCCCAGCTGCGTTAGTGTTCGATAGGATGTAATAAAGTGAAATATGTATAGGTTATTTTGAGGCAACGAGGGGATATGTGATTTATTCACCGAGGCGCGCAGCGCCGAGGTGAATAAACACATATCCCCGAGGTGCCTCAAAATAACGTACTTATTTTTCACACTGCGAGGTCGCGTTAATGAGTCAGAAAAGAAATAATTCTCAATGCCATTTTGCCTTCGCGATGTTGTTTTTTTCTCATCAATTTTTGTGCTGCAAAGAATGCCATTTTGCCTTCGCGATGTTGTTTTTTTCTCATCAATTTTTGTGCTGCAAAGACATTGCAGGTGAATATTAGAGGGGATTATTAATTGCAGGTGAATATTAGAGGGAATTATTAAAACGGAAATTGAATAGAGTGGAATATTGAATATATTCCCCGATAAGAACTGCAGGTGAATATTAGAGGGGATTATTAAACGGAAATTGAATAGAGTGGAATATTGAATATATTCCCCGATAAGAACAAAGGAAACCGAGCAGGGTGAAAAATAAATTGTAATATTATATCTCAAATTCAAAGTGTCCAATCAGAGAGCTAAGTTGGTGCCACGTGAGCATGAAATTTATCATCGAATCGCACCATACGTATAGGTTATTTTGAGGCAACGAGGGGATATGTGATTTATTCACCGAGGCGCGCAGCGCCGAGGTGAATAAACACATATCCCCGAGGTGCCTCAAAATAACGTACTTATTTTTCACACTGCGAGGTCGCGTTAATGAGTCAGAAAAGAAATAATTCTCAATGCCATATTGCTTTTGCGATGTTGTTTTTTCTCATTTTTTGTGCTGCAAAGACATTGCAGGTGAATATTAGAGGGAATTATTAATTGCAGGTGAATATTAGAGGGGATTATTAAACGGAAATTGATTAGAGGAGAATATTGAATATATTCCCCGACAAGAACAAAGGAAACCGAGCAGGGTGAAAAATAAGTCATCATATTTGACGCAAGCGGGTGACTTGAATCATATCACATGGCGATTTGATCATGTCACCCGGTGACTAGTCTCCCTCGCAGACGTTCTTATAGCTCTAACCCTCGCTAACGTCTGCTGAAACGAGCTGCACATTCCATTCCCTTTGTTTTAGGAGTATATTGTTTGGGTTGAAATTTGTTTACTTGCGTGGAGATATTTTGGAAACTATAGCCTTCAACTTCACGATGATTACGTAGAATAATATTGTGATCATCTTCTCGCGTGTTCTGCAAACAAGCGGCGTATATAAAATGCAAAAGCTATGCAACAGGCGAAATTTTAAATTTTGTTAACAATGACAAACAAGCAATCGGGAAACTCGAGAACGAGTAGATCAGGATATGTCCAAATGTTGCTATTAAATTCTTCCGATATGCCATGGCTTCGACGAAAAATTCTAAAAGATTAAGATCTCGTTGCATGTAGAAAAGTATAGCGAAGTTACATGTATAAACGTTTCGAAGTTTGGGCGAACTGGAAATTCATATCGGCGCAATTAAAAGTTTCTCGGGTTTTATTTGTGTTGTGTTTACATTCAAAAGTCAGAAGTCGTTGCTCAAACAGCAAATTAGTTTACTTTGAAACTAATATTTCGCTTTCTAAGCCACAGTATTATATCAAATTTTCTGTCTTCTTAGTTCTGTTGTCTTAAAGATATATATCTGTCAAAAGTTCAAATTTCAGCGAAATATATTCTGCATTTGATGCTGTAGCCACTAGATTAATACAGTATGCCCTCGAGTATGCCATCCTGTCCACGTTTTAAATATAACCGAACATCTTTAAAACTCTTTCTCGCCACAGGCCATATCGCGTCGATCCTGAGCGATCGAGGGCTATAAAATTTTATACCTTCGGTTCAGTGCATGCTATGAAGACAGAAATACCACCAATCGATTCAGAAATAAAAGATAGACTAGTTCCAAACGATAGTTATAGTCATTATTAACATTGTAACGATTTATGGGCCTTTGAAAGTCAAACACGATAATATTGTATCAAATTACGCAATTGTCTGAACAAAATATAGACTAGCCATACCTTTCGCTGAAAATAACTTCGGCCCCTTCGCACATATCGTCTTTGTAATAGTCTTGTTCGAATCCCCATCAAAAACACTATTTAGAGTGTTATTTGCAAGCCTGTATCTTCAAATCTGTATCTTTTATCAATATATTTCCATTTCTTGTCCGACTGTGAGCTCGAAGTGAGTTAATCCCAACCGGAAATACGTCTGAAAACGTCAAAACAATGCGACGTTTGTATCATATGACCCTGGAAAGGCCAGAAATGGTTCGCAAGGTCAAATTGCACCTACACGCGTGAGTTTGACGTCATACCGGCCAACAGGAGCTTCTTATTGGCCAATTATTGCGCAATGTTCGCAAGTGCGAGTAAAACGTACTAAAACCCGATACCTTGAAAAATTCAAAATAAATATTTCTAGTCGGCGTATACATACCAAACTTTCTACACGAAAGCGCTTGGATACAAAGAGTATTTTACACATATAGCCGTTCAGAAAATGACGAAAAGTTCAAGAGATATTCAAGATCTTGTAGATATAAAATCTAGAATCTTTGGCCAAGCGGTGAGTAAATATATGATTGTTTCGGTTTGTGTAATGCTCTGACGGCACTTGACCCCCCGTTCGAAAGGTTATTTTATTAGGATTTCAATGGTGGCTTTTATTTACAAGGGGGGTAAATACTCGCCGAGATATTTATATTAGAAAAATTGTGTCGTAATCTGATGCGAAAGGGGGTGGTCGAAAAAGAGTTTAATATCCGAATCTGATAATTAATGGCGCATTTTATTTCCTGGACAAGTATCATTGTCTTTAAATTCAATTTATGTGCAATTTTGACCAAAATTCAACCGAAGACTGCTTTCAAAATATAAAAATATTTATGTACTATTTATTCCGCCCGTAAATCACTTTCCGAAATATAGAAGGTTCGCTGTGATTGGTCGATCGGAGGGAATGGAATGTGCAGCTCGTTTCAACAAACGTTAGTTAGCGAGGGTTAGAGCACAGGAGCCCAAGCGTTGATCTGTGTTAGTGTTGTATGTTTTTCAGTTTATTTATTTTAGTGTCTTTATATTGCCTTTTAATTGAATTATAACACTAAATTACACTAATATGTCATATAATAATAATACTCCTATAGTCGAACATATAATAACAACATATATAAAAGTTGATTTGTATTTGTATGTTTTTCAGTTTATTTATTTAAGATCTATTATTAGCTTATATAAAAGCACCGCCTTTCGAACCTGACAGCCCGTTCGCAGGATACGCGCGGGATTTGAAATAGGGGGCGGCAACAATATAATACGTGACAAGGGATGAAAGTCTTAAAGTTTGTCGTATTATGAATGCCCTGACTCTCTGGCCCTGACTTGAGTGGACCGATAATTATGCAATGAGTGTCGTGTCGAATAACGCCGTCAACATTTAGGAATCAATGATATAAACAAGGAAGCAAACTCGAATACAACTCAAGGTGAGAAGCCAATTCGTGTCGACCGTAACGGTTTCAATGTTTAAAATTAAAAA